TTTGTAATTGCCACAAAAATGTATGGCATGCGACCGAGTGCAGATCGAGTGTGATAATATATCTTCGTAAGTATTTATCACTATGAAATTAATAATTTACGTTTCCTATATAGCATCATCATTTCTCCAAATCACGGTCATCATAAGCTTATAAATTCAAAAATCCGGGACATTACTTTACTTATGCAAAATGTTTAAGAAGTGAATCGGACCGTAACCTATGTACGCAATGATGTTCACGTATCACGTAATCATCCGTTTTATATTTTTATCTTATGTTTTGATGTTTCTTTATCTCTATTTCATAAGTCTACACATGTAAAGACTATAGTAATGGAGTAATTTCGTATGTGCAGTAATTGCGTGCAATTGCAATGATTGTGTTTCGAGATAAAAATAACATGATTGTGCAGGAAACTATTGCTTGATATGAATGTTATTGCGAAGAATATCGTTATCAGTTGATAATTCTTAGATGGCGCCAAACATAACCAGCTTATCGATAGTACGACATATTTCCAAATTTTTCAGAAGTTTGTCGCTTGGTATAAAAGCAACTGGAGTAAGAAATCAAAATAATCAGTCACTATGATTCGTTCGTGTATTCTCATCGCGGCGTTGATCGTTCTGGCCGGCTCGAATGAGGCCCAGGAAGCGGATAAGGATTGGTATAAGAATAGTCTGGTATATCAGATCTATCCGAGAAGCTTCAAGGACAGTAATGGCGATGGCATTGGCGATTTGAACGGTATTACGAGCAAGTTGGAGCACATTAAGGACATTGGCGCCGATGCGTTATGGATGTCACCGATCTTTTCTAGTCCACAGAAAGATTTCGGCTATGATATTTCTAATTTTACCGATATCAATGAAGAGTACGGCACTTTAAATGATTTTAAAGCTCTCGTACAGAAGGCACAATCCCTTGGGCTGAAAGTAATCCTTGATTTCGTGCCAAATCACAGCTCTGATCAACATGAATGGTTTAACCAAAGTATCCACCGTATTGAACCCTACGACGAATATTATGTATGGCATGACGCAAAATCTGAAAACAACATTACAAACGAACCACCGAACAACTGGTTGAGTGCTTTTGGAGGCTCTGCCTGGGAATGGAACGAAATACGAGGACAGTATTATCTGCATCAGTTCGCTGTTGGACAGCCAGATCTCAATTATCGTAATGAAAAGTTGCGAGAAGAAATGCAAAACGTATTGGTATTCTGGATGGATTTAGGCGTAAAAGGTTTCCGCATTGACGCTATCAATCATATGTATGAGGATGATCGATTCTTGGATGAACCATTAAGTAACTTAGGCGTACCAAGCAATGATTACGATTACTTGAATCACATTTACACGAAAAATCTTCCTGAAACTTACGACGTTCTCAAAACTTGGAGGAAGTTGATGGACGATCACTCGACAGGTGACACGAAGATGATTCTGACCGAGGCCTATGCAGACTTTGATCTCACTATAAAATACTATCAGTCTGGTTCAACGGTGCCGTTCAACTTCATGTTCATTAGTGATCTAAATAACAAGTCCAGCGCAGCCGATTTTAAACACAGTATCGATCGTTGGATAAACAACATGCCTAAAGGTGCGGAATATGTTGCGAATTGGGTGACGGGAAATCACGACAATCATCGCGCGGCTACTAGATTCGGGGAGAAACGGGCCGATCAACTTTCCATGTTGGCAACCGTTTTGCCCGGTGTAAGCGTGATTTATAATGGCGACGAGATCGGTATGCTCGATAGATATTTTACATACAACGAAACTGTGGATCCTGCCGGATGCGGAGCTGGAGAGGAAAGGTATTGTCACAATAAAACAATGAATTTAAATAGGATTGTATCGTTATGACGTAATATATAATAGATTTAAATGAAATCTATAAATATATCTATTTATTAAATAAATATTGTATATTTTATAAATATATTCTTTAATTTTTATATTTTATATTGTTTGGAATATAAAAATGTTGATTAATAACATTATGTAAAAAATATTATTATATAAAAATTATATATATATCGCATTTGACATACAGATATTTAGATTCCGATAACCTCGATCTGACACAACTCGCCGGTTCGCGTAAAGAACGCACGTCCGTGTCTTGTCACGTCTCGTGCCATAGCTTAGCGCCGAGACACTATCAGTATCTCCAGATTATTATTACGAGGATTTATATAACTTTGTTCACTAATAATTAATTTAATGCAAATCATTTATTTTAAAATGGCTTTTACTTATAATAAATATATTATGAATTGATTATCTATTTCGACAAAATGATTAAATTAAATTATTATTATTATACACACATATATATATATATAAAATCATGCTATCTTTTAGATTTTATTATAAATCTGTTTCAAAAGAAGTGTATTACTTAATATACTATTATATTCAAACTTCTATAATATTATATTCAAGATGTATCTTTTTATTGATTAATGATATATATCGCGTTTTCAGATATTTTCTAAAATCACGAGATCCAGAAAGAACACCTTTCCAGTGGGATGATAGTATCAGCGCCGGTTTCTCTACCAATAAATCAACATGGCTTCCGGTGAACGACAATTATAAATTCTTGAATTTAAAGGCGCAAAAACCCGAGCTCTACTCTCATTATAACGTGTTTAAGCGCTTAACACAACTGAAGAAGAAGCCCGTCATCGAGCAGGGGACCCTGGAGACTGCGTTGTACTGTTACAAATGTTCTGTCGCCGAAAATGTTCTAGGGGTGGTACGACGAAACGAAACATCCATCGTAGTCCTCATAGTGAACTTCAATGATACGGAAACGGTCATCGTTGATATTTCAATCTGGTTAAATATTTCGGAGCAGTTGATGGTGTATACATCCAACGAGGGTTCCAATCTACTTATAAGATCGCCTGTTAATATGGCTACCTTCAATCTGTCTGGTTCGAGTTCTGTTATACTCGTCACAGCAGATTTGTTCGATTAAATTTTTGCTTATCTCGTGTTAATGAGAATACCTCTTAAGTAAAGCGAATTTTCGGATACATTAAGCATAAGTATTTTTTCTGCAGGCAGATTGTGTCTTATGTGAGAATAAATTTTCGAAGGAAATGCATTTTGTGATAATAACGATTAAAAATAAACTTATTGCCATTAGATATCATATTACTATTAAATGCAAAAAAATTATTACAACAGCATTTATCATATAATAATTAGTGCTCATCTATATATCTACAAAATGCACATTTTCGTTCAATCGAATAAATTTTATTTTAATTAAAATAAGAGTAATTTTTTAATTGTACCTCAATATATAAAATAGTATAAATCAATGTTAAAACAATATTTATATTGGCTTTTTAACTCAGCCTCATTGTCTTAATAATTAATTTTCCTTTGTCGCTACTTCAATATTAATTTTATTTTCTGATTTCCAATTTTTCTTAATAAAACACATTTGTTTAATTAGTTATCATGATGGGCTTAAATAAAAATAACTATCAACTTAGGGCATGTCAAAAGCGCAAAATATTTTAATTATTCTTTCTACTTATTAAAGCACATTATTCTCTTTTTTTTAATATTAAAGCATATAACTTTTTTATTATGTATTTGTATAAATTAATTTATTCAAATAAAATGTGAAACATTTTATTTTTACCAAATTGCATTTTTGCGAAATAAAATCCAAAACACAATGGCCCAATTTATAATTTAAGAATATAATGTATATTCTTATTCTTTATATTTATATCACAAGTTTCAACAATATATCTAATTATATTATAAATTTTTATTAGACATAATAAATATCTTTATTATGATTATAATGCTTCTTGATATTATAAAAACAATGATAAAAGAGAGAAGCTATCTAATATTAGATTAGCTTGATATTATCGTAAAAAAATGTAAGTTATCGTTATCAGTAATTCCATGATGCAATTATTTGCAGTTACAAGGTTATCAAATAAAAATAATAATTCCATCATAGCAATGTATTCATTGCTATGATTTTTTTAAAAAATCGTCGCGTATAGAGCATAAAATCGCAGAATCAATAATCAAATTAGTCATTTATTATGCTTCGCCTATATATTTTCATTGTAACGTTGATTGTTCTAATAACTTCTGCGCCAATCGAAAGAGCAGACAAGAATTGATTCAAGAACAATTTGATATATCTAGTCTATTCGACAAGTTTCGAGGATAGTGATGGAGATGGTATAGGAGATTTGAATAGTATCACGAGTAGATTGGAGCATATCACGGACATTGGGCTGATACGTTATGGCTGTCACCGATTTATACCAGCTTGCAGTTTGACTTTAGCTACGATGTTACTAATTATACCGACGTCGACAAGGATTATGGTACTTTAGCTGACTTTGACAAACTTAAGAAGAAGGTGAAGTCCCTTGGGCTGAAAGTAATTCTCAATTTCGCCCAACTACAGCTCTCACGAGCACGAATAGTTAAGAAAAAGCGTTCAACGGATCAAGTTCTACGACGAATGTGGCGTGACGCACGAATAGTGAACGACACTAGGAAACCACCGAACAACTGGTTGAGTATCGTCCGATGCTTCGCTTGAGAATGGAACTCGGCGCAGTAACAATACTATCTCCATCAGTTCAACGTTGCTCAGGCGGATCTCAACTACCGCAGCGTTGCATTGCAACGTGAAATAAAAAACTGAGTTTCGGGCTGGATCGGAGTTTTCGTACTGATGCTATCGGCCACTTGTTTGAGAATGCATGTTATCTAGACAAGCTTCGAAAAAACATGCCGGGAATGATGATCACAAAACTGGATTACATTTACACGGGAAATCTTCCCGAGACTTATGAAGTCCTGGAGAGAATTACTGGATAATCACGGTTAATGCAAAAATGATTTATAATAAACGACGACTGAGATCGACAAAATTTGTGTTGTAACAAATCAAGCCCGAAAGTGTCGTTTGATTTTACATTCATTTTTTATTTGAACAATGAGTCTAGCATGGCTGACTTCAAATATCTCATCAATCGATGGATGAACAATATACCTAACGATTCACTGTACGTCGCGAATTGGGTGGTGAACAATCATGACAATCATCGAGCGGCTTCCAGATTGGGCGAGAAACGGACCGATCAGCTTTCTGTGTTGGCGATGGTTTTACCCGGCGTAAGCGTGATTTACAACGGCAACGAGATCGGCATGGTCGATAGGAATTTTACGTACGCAGAAACCAAGGACCCTATCGGATGTATTGTTGGACCTGACACGTGTCACGAGTGAAGATAAACCTGGACAAAGTCGTGTGTCTAAACAGATTTGATATCCATAAATACATTTTATTTTCAAATGTATCAGATATTTGTATTATCATTATATCAAATAAAAAGTGTTACTTAATTAATAAAATATATTTAACTTAATCATTTCTTAAAATTCTTAATTTAATTTGAAAAATATCATTCAATTTAAATTTCTGTTATATTTTTAATAAAAGGGTTAAATTTTATAATACTTCCAAAACTTTGTATAACGCGCAATTATTTATTTTTAAATTAGTAACTATCATTTATCTTCACAATCAGAAAAGATTTCTTCTTTTTTATAAAAAAAAGGAAGAAAAAGCCAATATGCAGGCATTCAGTAGGGACAAGCATTAGATATTCTATATGGTAAGCGTTATATTATCAAATGGATTTCGATTTTCACGTACTTGCAAATATCATCTAAAATTGATTCGGAAAGAACGCTTTCAAAGAACGACAGCATCAGGGCGGGTTTCTTTATATCAGCAACGAGACGTGGTAAATAGCAATGATAGAACTCTGAATTTAGTGGCACAAAAAGTCGCGGTCGTGTCTCACTATAGTATATTCAAATCTTTGTGGTGTTTGAAAAGAAAGCTCGTCAAGCGGGATTCTCTGGAGACTGCGTTGTATTGTTTCGATTGTTCTATCACCGAGAATGTTTTAGGGACGGGATATGGCGACATGATGCATCTGTCGTGGCGCTTATAGTCAACTTTCTAGACACGCCAGTGACGTCACCGTAGACGTCAGGTTCTGGATGAATATTCCAGAGCAGTTAATAGTCTATGCGCCCAGTGTGCATTCTGAGATGCTGGCAGAATCGCGCGTCGATGCGATTCGCATCACTATGCCCAGTTTGGCCCTTCGTTGTGCTTACCACAGCAGATTTGGTAAACTCCCGCCTACGTTATGTTCACAGATAACCGGTAACACGAAGTTTCAGATATCTATGCAGCATGTATAAGTCACTTATAAAGTTTGTTCTGGAATTTAAGATAGTTTTATGCGAAACTGATGTACTGAAAGTAGATATAAGGACGAAGTATGTTTTGTAGGTGTTAATATCGATGATCATTAACGATTAAATGATAGCAAACATGGACGGATTGCGTGACTATAACATATTTTTATATGATAATTTTAAGAAATTTTTTATTTGTTGCATAATAAGATATTTGCTAAAATAATAAGGACTGAATTCTTAATTAAGTTTTTCTTTGTAATAAAATTAATTTAACAATTAATTCTCTATCATAATTAACACAATATTAAATTCAGTTTCAGATTTTTATTTTTAATAAAGTATATTGATTTCCAATCAAGTATGTTTATTTTTCTTAGAATATTATACGAGTTAATTGAAAGTGCGACTTTTTTCCTTCTAATTAATAGAAGTGACGGAAATAATTTTTGTGAAAGAATTGCCTTAGAATAAATATCAGAATACTTACATTTAAGGAATGAGAAATCCTAATTATACTCATACATGCTCATATTTAATGCGCGAGCATGTGTGTGTGTTGTATATATACTTATATATATAATACATATATGTGTTATATTACTTATATATACATATTATATATTTAATATTATATTACAATTTGCTGTATAATACTATATAATAATAGTTATTTATAATGTGTTATCTTGTCCGCCGTTTATAAAATACAAAATAGCGGCATATACAATCGTATAACATGTTTCGTGACAACGTTTGATTTTGTGGCTACAACAGCAACATGAGAGTGATCTTTCAATAAATATTAGCCTTTGATAAATGCCAACAGTACTTTATTCAGCATGATTTATATTACACTTGCAACCGTTGTTTGTTGTTTATATCTACACGAATAAACCAATAGCAACATGCCGAATATTATTTTATTACTAGAAAATCTCTCTGTAAAATCCCAATACAAATTCGTTTTGTTGTTCGGCAAATATAACAAGACAAGCAGAATTTGGATATCTGTCTGATTTATGATATCATTTAAAGCGGCTTCATAAAATATAATACCAATGCTGTGAAAAGGATTGAAAATTTACGCGTAAAATTCATCAAAAATATAAAAAATCCCTTTGTCGATGTACAATCTACTAATATTTTCAAGAGGAATTCAGACAGATTAAGACCGATGCTTTTTCAATTTTTATATTTGAAGGACTATCTTATGCACAGTCTTAAGATGTCATAATTAGCTATTTTAGCATTTTAAGATATTATACATTCTGTTCTATAAGATTATATTTGTAATAAAGTTCAGTATACCATATTTGTAAGAAAGTTTATAAAAATTCGAAAAAATATATACTATAGATATATATATACACATTTTTTGTATATCTATAGTATATATTTTTTTGAATTTTTATAAACTTTCTTATAAATATGGTATACTAAACTTTATTACAAAATATAATCTTATAGAACAGAATGTAAATAATATTTAAAAATGCTGAAATAACTAATTATGACATCTTAAAACTGTATATATATATATATATGAAATAGCTAATTATGTATATTATTATGTTTATATATATATATATATATATATATATATAAGAAAACTAGCAAAAGCACACTCAAAATAGTCAGCTAATCAAATATTATAAGGAGTCTAGACAATATATTAGGCAAGACGAAATGGGCCATTGAATGTACTCTAAAATAATATTGTCTTAAAATATCTTCAGTAATCTATTTCTTCCTAATATATCGTTAGTGCTTGATCAGCTAATAATTTCTGGGCATATTTTTGACTAGTTTTTCAACTGTTGAAGAAAAGTAATCTTACAATTTGCTAGATGTAATTGAATAATGTATCTGCTTTACAGTTTATATTTACGTTTTCCCTAAAGCTTTCTCTTCATAGATAATCAAATTTTTTCGATAGAACTCATATCAAAAGTTCATACAGTGCAAGGTCGTGATATTTCGAACTTTCAGATGGTACAACTAATTGTCGAGGTATAATAAACAATAATGAAGATTTGAACGATATATTAGACAATGATAAAATAGGTTATTGTAAAATGATATAGACTATTTTTTAATTTTCATAAATCTTTTTACAAATATGATGTATACGTTCTTATGATATAGATAAGTATTTAAGATATGTTAGTAACACTTCAAGATTGTAAGATAATCTCGAAATAAGAACGGATTCTGAAAACGGCGTAGATCAATAGATATTCCAATTGATCAATATTATCACAATATTATTGAAGTTCATTTCTTTCCGGACATGTACAAAATTGTCTGACAAAAGTCTGGTGCTTAACCGACATGCAGATTGCTAAAACTTACATATTTTTCGCAATATACGCTGGAACTAGAAGAAGAAGAGGAACTAGAAATAGAAGAGCAGAATGCGGGGAAGAAAATAGATTTACGACAGGAAAGCCGATAGTTTCGATCAGCTAAGGTAGCTAAGACGCCACGCGGTGAGAGGCGAGACTTGCACGCACGTCCTCGTGCTGTGTGCACATGAGTAGTTGGGGAAATTCTCGAGTTTTCATGCCGACAGCCGGCACTATGCACCGGCGCGCAGCACCAATCACGCTGAGTGCACATTCTTCAACCTCTTCTGTCTCGGAGTCCTCTCTCCGCCGTTCTCTCGTCCCCGAGACAGCTAGAAGAGATGCACCACTCTCTCGCTCCGCGGTTTCGTTTGTATATCGTGCATGTATAACGTGCGTGTGCCGGCATACGCCAGAGCATAGCGAATTGGTGGAGCTTGCACCTCTAGCTACGCTATCTTTCTTCGTTTTCTTCTTTCGTGTTTGTGCGACCGCGACTGAATATTCGGTGTGAACTGCTACAATGTTTCCTTGCTGGTAACTCACGAACTCTTAATTAATTCGCGTATTCCCATATTCATCCCTTTATGTGTGCCTGCTTCTCGCAGCATTTCCTTCATTTTCTTCTGGTCTTATTTTTAGCTTCTTGCAGGTAGTGAATAACGTCCACTTTTAGAAATCAGTACGCGGACAACAGTAGCTCGCGAAGAATTACGTTCTTTTCTTGCCTCGAGTATGCGCGCTCTTTGATATTTAAAAGTATTCTAAATGAAAAATGTTTGTTTGTACGCCGTGCGTATTGCAATACAAGGCAAAGTACTGAGGTGGTATACGTAGGCGCGCCTTCGTTTCGTAGAAATTGTTTCGCGTTTCGTTTAATAATGCAACTAGACGCACGAATGCAATTTGCGATGTTAAATATCGGCGTATTTGCAAACGGACCTTTGTAAGGCCCTCTTCAAGAGTAACAAAGTAACTCTGATGTGCAACGGACAGAGCAATTATTAAAATGCTCTGGATAACAAAACTGAGAACGAAATAAGCAAATAGAAATGCGAGTGTTTGTTAACATCATTATTGCTCAGATTTATTTAATTTATTTAATTTATTAAATTTTTGAAATTGATTTTGTTATTAGGCTGTATATTAAATTATGTCTAAATAAATCTGAATAATAACATTAAATAATTAAGTTAAATCAATGTTTTCGAGTGTTAGATGCAAAGATACCTACGAGTATAACGAATAATCTTTGGTTATTTATTTATTACTTGAAGTTACGAGTCCCTTATTTAAAAAATGACACAACTTGAAAACGTGATTATTACTATGAATGAGTTAAGTAAACATACTCTATTAATTATCAAAAGTAAACTGACTCAACTTCATAAAAAATCGTCACAATTCAAAAAGAGTATCAAGTGAAATAGACCGAAATGTGTTTAAACACAAGTAAGAGCGAAGAATGCCATTTTTTCGATCAAAATGGGTCTTGTTTTCATAAATCAGTTTTATAGACTGTGCGCCGATTCGATTTGTAAGAGTTTGAAACATAATCATGAATTGAAATAATCTCACAATTAAATTGCGCAGTGTCAAATTAATTTTAATATTTGACATTGCGCAATTACTTCTAGCGATGACTATTCCTATTGCCTTTTTTATCACAATTTATTATTATATTAATAGAAGGAGTTAATTAATTTATTATTCTTATCGTAATTTATTAATCTCACAATTAAATTAATCATCGATCGAATAATAATA